CCTCACTGGGGTTTTGGCCAAATAAGCCCCTTTTGGACTCATTTTTACCAGGACTCGGCGGCGTTCGCGGCGCCTCTGAGGGGCGAGTGACCCAGCTCTGGGCAATCCGTGTGGATATGTGGGTGTTGTGGAGAGGGTTTGGTTTCTCCACGTTCCTTCCTGTGCTGCTGCTTCCAGGGATCCATCCTCCAGTCAGGCTGGGAGTTTTTTTGGGGGGGAAACTCTGTCCCCCCCATCCCTGCTGGCTGTCCCTTCTCCTGCCACAGGGCACTTGAGCTTCCCCATCCGTGTCCTGCTGGAACAAGGATCTGCTCCAACTCGGAGCTCCCACCTGGAGCCAGACCCTTCTGGGTCTTGGGTCAGGACCCACCTGTGCAAAAGCTTTAAGGTTTTGCATTCGCTTTTCTCTGATGGAAGGGGTGGGAATTCTCTCCATCCCCACAGCAAGGGCCCTTCCCTGGTGTGGCTCCTCTGCTCCTTCCCCTTTCTCCTGGCTGCACTCACCTGGTGACTTTGCATGCTGAGGGACCGGAGTGTCTCACCCCAGAGCTGCCCTGCAGGGCGTGAGTGTTCACCACAGCCTCACTGCTTTCTCCTCTGCGTGGCAGGGAGGAAAGGCTTCGGGAAGAAGAGGAAGAACAGAAGAGGCAGAAGCTTCAGGCTGCAGAGAACAGGGCCAGGGTGATGGAGGCGTTCCTGAAGGAGAAGGAGAAGGAAGTTCTCCAGCTGCAGGTGAGAGCAGCTGGTGCTTCCTGGCAGAATGCTGCTCGCAGGCCCTGTGAGGGGTTTGTTGGCAGCCCGTGGGAGGGACGTGGAAGCTGTAGGTGTGTTTTCCATGGATTTTTATGTTGGTAGCTGGGAACACAAGCACCAGCACTTCTAGGGGTGTTGACAGCGTGTGAACAGGGTGGAAGCGAGAGCTGGGAAAACAGGATGGAACAGTCCCCAGGGAGAGAACAAAGCTTTCCTTGCTGGGGCTTGGCTCCTGCTGAGGTGCTGTTGGTGGCACCTCGGGGACTCTGCCAGCCCCTGCAGCCTGTGCTTGTCCTTCCTTCCTTCAGGAGGAAGCCAAAACCTTCATCACCCCCGAGAACCTGGAGGCACGGATCCAGCAGTGCCTGGACAACCCGCGCAACTACAACTTCGCCATCGACAAGGACGGGCGGATCGTCAAGCGCACCGTGCTGTCCTAGCAGCCCTGGCCTCATAGCCTGGCCCTGCCTCCTTGTTTCCTCCTCCTGACAGCTATAAATCGACCTCAGGGTGGTTGGAGGAAGCCCCGTGGGTCTGGCTGTGGTTCTTCTGAAGGGTTAGTGTTGCTGGGGAGGGAGAAATCTGGGCTCGCGACGAGCGCCTGAGGCGCTGCCAGGCCTGTGAGGGTGAGGAGCAGCTGCTGGGCTTGGGGTGCAGTTGCTCTGACTCTCTGCCATCCCACGTCTTTGGATCCCTCCCTGTGTAGAGGGACCTCTCGAGGTGCTTTTGAAAGAAAACCTTGTAGGAAACTCTGAGCCTCTGTGTTGTGTTGCTGGGGGAAAGGATTGATTGTTTCTCTGGTTTCTGCGGTGGTGGGGAGGACCCATC